CGGGGGCTTTGTGCTGGGGCTGATCTTCCTGGCGCTGGGTCTCCTCGTCTACCTGAGGAACAAGAAAGGTGAGTGTGGCTCAGCTGGGGTGCTGGAACCAAGGCAATGTTGGAGCAAAATGCTCGGTCTGTAGGTCTGTCTGCAGGCTTCACTCCCTCTCACACCCCAATACGAATTGCCCTGGAGTCTAGCAGGGGCTTCCCGGTTTCTCACCTCCTGGGGCTGGAGATGGATCCCACTGTCCCTCCCTCCTCTAAGGGGCAGGGCAGAGCAGGGGCCGTGGGTAGGTAGAGCTGCCACTGCCTTGACTCTGGGCATTTCCTCTCCTCTGCTTCAAGGCAGTGACTCTGGGTTTGGAGGTGCCAGTCCGAAGGGGGTGGGTGCCCTGGGTGTACCCCACTTTGGGACTTCATGGGGATGAGGTATCGGGGGGGTCTTTCTGCCCCAAACGTCTCTCCTCTGTCCTGTGGCTTGTCTGCTGGCACAGAATCAGGTTTGCCCCTGGGAAAACTTCGTATCCAGAAGACCTTAATCTCAGCTTCCCTTGACTCTGACTTTGTTGCTCCAACAGGGGAAGCTTTGGCAGCTGGTGGGGCAGACTCATTTTGTTCAGCCCAATGTAATGTAGATCCTCAGCCCTGCAGGTGTGAAAGGCCTGCAAGTGTCAGTTGTTCTGGACTCACCATTACCCTAGATAATCAGGGAGGGATGTGGAACAGGGGAAGGATTGTCTCACCTACACCAGACCCAGGGAGAAAATGTCCCGCTTCATTATAAATGGCAGAGAGGAGCATAACAGACCTGTCCTGCAGTCAGGAAATGAGGAGCAGCAGCAGAAAGGAGAAAGCACTGCTCATGGCTCTGCTCCCTGTGGGGACCATGCAGCTTTCTTGCCCACCTGGGAACTAGCAGAAGCTGCTCGTACCATATTTCTCCCATATACTGCTCACTGCAATTTCTTGCAGGTGGAGTTTTGGGTGTTATTTTTTCTTTCTTAAGGAAAAGTGCCTGCAGTATGAGAGGATAATACATTTTCTTTTGCTCCCAAGCTTATCGGAATCAGTTTCCTTCTTTATGATACTGCTCACCACTTCCTTCTTCCCTAAATTTTCAATTGCTGTTTTTGGCAGAAAAGAAAAACATAGCAAGGGCTCCTCCAAAATGTGCACAGCCATGGTCTGGTCTAGGGCTGTTCCTGACACTTGGTTCAGCCCGTATCTCCCTGCCTGTCTTGGGTCATATAGTGAAGATACAGACACACCTTCCTAGCTGATACTGTGGCTCACACAAGTGTGACCCTGCTTGAATTCATCCTCGCTGAATGTTGTCTGGAAATAGAGACCAAGCACAGAGTAGTGAATCCAGTTCAGGGAAATATCTACACGTGCACACAGTGAATCCCTCTATCAAGCCCTGTTTGGGTGAGCCCATCATTGGGTTTTTAATGAGGGATGTGGGGTCCCTAATGGGGTCTGCTCTGCACCTCAGGGCTAGGGCAGGATCTCTGATCTCTCGGAGGGGCTGCCTCTGGTGAGACTCCCACCATGTTTCTCCTTGTTTTCCAGGCCGCCCCGTTCCCCAGCCAACAGGTAATTTCCATCTCAGTCTACCCCTACGAAGCCCCCTCCCCCTCAGGGACCACAGGCTGTACAGGGAGTCCATGGAGCAGCTGCCCCTGCCCTTTCACCCCAACACTTGCCCAGCCCAGCATGGGTGGGAACTGGAACATGGAGCGTTTGCAGTGAGGAAGAGGAGGAGTCTCCATCTCCCTCATTAGTGCCATTTGGGCCAAACCTAGAGCTACTCCCAGGGTCAGAGCATCCTGGGCCCTGCAAAAGCATCTCCCCACCCGGAGGCTCCAGACAAGCCTCTAGGGAGGCCCTGGCGCCTGTCAGATCCCCCCGTGGCCCTTGCCCAGTGCCGCTAGTCCCTGCCCTGTGCTGATGTCTCCCCTCTCTCCCTGCAGCGCTCCTCAGTTAGATCCTGCAGCTTCGGGGCCTGCATTGCCCAGCGTGATTCTCCAGCCCCGTCTCCTGGCACCTGTCCCTGTATTTGGAGCTCTTCTCACTTTCCCTCCGTCCTCACTTGGATCCCTGGGGCTGACTCCTCAGAATTAACCCTTTATCTGCCTAAGCCTGCACCACATCTGCACTCAGAAATGCTACTGCTTTTGGGGGGACCTTCAGGGGACTCTGATCTGAGACACGGGGAGCTGTAACACGGCCATTTCCAGCAGTTGTCACAGCCCTCTGGGACGAGACTCCCGTGGGGCCCCAACTTAAGCTAATGTGCCCAGGAAGGACCAGTATCACCCTCAGCCTGAGCAGCGGAAACATGTTGTTAGGAAAGGACAGGATGGAGGAGCCCAGTGGTACCCAGGGAACACATGTCCTACCCTTGGGCAGGGGTGGTCCTGGGGGGTCTCTGAGCTTGTAGCCACCTTGTTACAGTTGAGATCGGGTAAGCCTGGCCTGGGGTCCCAAGGTGTCCCATGGGGTTGTTGGACAGAAGCACGTGGGGTTTGAGTCAGGTGCCTTGAAACATGTGCTGGAGCTTGTGCTATTGTAATTGCTCCTCCTACTGCTCTGGATCACTCCTTTGGGACGGGAAAGGAGCAGGTTTCTGTCCTGCTGGGAGGTGATGATGTTTCTGACCAATATCTTGTCTCACCAGTACCTGCGGTGTGTTGAGCCCTCCCTTTTCAGAGCTCCTTTGGTGCCATACCCCCAGGGTACACCCCAGAGCTCTGGACAGGCCGTCCTGGGCTCCCCAGCAGCAAGTACCAGCAGAGACAGTCCCTGGGGCCATGCCCTGAGGGCTCTCAACTGCCTTTGGAGGATATCAGCTACTGGGAGTGGGAGCTCGAGAAGGGGCTGAATGTGCAGGTGAGAATAGACCTTTTTGTTGAATGTGCTAATGGCAAACCAGGCCTCGTGTCACTGCACGGTCACAATAGACTGTTCTGGCCAGCCTGGCAGCTCTTTCCCATGCTTTTGGCTGGAGTCAGTTTTAGCGCAAATGGGATAAAGGGTGTGATCCCCTAAGTGGGACAAAATTCCTCTGCTCAGAGGTGGCAAGGTCTGAGGGAGACAGGTGTTGCCAGGACACGTGGCACTGAGGATCTGGCTCCTTTTGCCACTCTCAGCTTGTTCCTTGTGGTGAAGGAGAGAGGGGTTTGGGGCTGAGGGACTCCTCTGCAGGTGCAAGGACCCCCCAGAGTGTCACACAGAGGATGGTACTAGGGGAGGGTGAAGCGCCTCCGAGCCAGAGGTGAGGGCAGGGATCATGCTGGGATCCAGGAACATGGGTAGCCCATCCCAGTGAGATGCCTAGGGCCCAAGGGCTGGGCTGGGGTTTGTGACCCAAGAGAGCAGCTCGCTGTGGGCCAGGAAGGAGCCCTGGTCGTGAGAACGCCCCCTTCCTCAGCCCCATTCCCAGCCCCACCAGGGCAAGGTTTCAACACCACTTGCACAGCTGGGTCTGTTTGTGATCGCTGCATCTTGTGTCAGTGGACCATCTGCCATGTCCTGCTCTGCACCTGTAAGGCACTGGTGTCACCCCATCCTATTTGCAAAGCTCAGGCTAGTGATCCTTCCATGAACGGTGTGGAGACCCAGGCCCCCGAGATTTCCTGAAATTCCCCATTGGATGCAGTCCTTGTCCAGTCCTGCACCAGTCGTGAGGCCGAGGGCAGCTGTATCACTGGTTACAGCGTGATGATGCTACTGGGGGAGTAAGACTACACAGTATGCTGTTCTCCTGCCTTCCCAGGCAAGAGCCAGGGAGATCCCTGAGCTGGGAGAGACCCTCATTTGGCTGGGGGAGAGCTGACAGCTGGATCCTGCTTCAGTGCAACTCTGACCCTGCACTTCACCACCCACTACAGCTGGCTACCCTGTCCCTGGTACCCTCTGAGACTCCATATTCCTGCCTTTCCATGTGTTAACATAAAGGGTAGATAAATGGACATTGGGCCTTTTCAAAGCTCTTTTAAGCTCCAGCTCCTTTCTGGCTCTCTCCATGTGTTGCTGAAAGGGTGAGAGGTGAGAGGCAGAGGGTCAGGGCATGGAGACAGTCTGGTCATGGGCCTGGGACTCAGACCCCTGGTCTCAGGGCCCTTATCTGCTCCTGAGGAAACCACTGGATTGTTCTTGGCTTCAGCTCCCATCTATAACAGGAGTTAAGGGCTCTGCCCAGCCTTAATGGATGTGTGGGGTAAAACAGGCAGGTAGGGAGAGATCAGGATCCCTGGAACCATCTACAGCTTTTGGAGAAGGTATTCTTTTGTGAAGGGACAAGTCAAGGACACCCATGGAGTCTGAGCCCTGGAGATGGGGCTCCCATTTCACGTTTTGTCTGTGTGAGGCAGGGCCCATCTCTGGGTGTGGGGGAAAGCTCCATGGTTCTTCATCTGGGGCTGGACCCAAATCTTCCTCCTTGACTAAATTAATTAATTATCTGCACCTGAGAGATCCCCAGTACCCCCATGTGTAGATCCAGCAGTTCAGTGTCTGAGGTGTTTGGCTGGGCTTCCTGTTCTGGGGATGGTGGACCCTGGGATGTCCCAGGATCCATCACCATGTAGGAATCCCAGAGCCTGCCACGGGGCCAGGAAAGGTGCTGGGGATTCCTGTAGCCCCACTGCAGGCACTGGCCTTTTGCTGCAGGAGGGAAAATTGCGTGGGGAAGGGGAAGCCCTGCTGACCCTGGCTCTTATGGAAGCCAGTTGTTGCTACTCACCCCTGATGCTGAATGGCTTCCAAGACTGGGGCAGCATCCTTGGAAAGATGATGCTCAGAGCTGAGCAGAACAGGTCTCATTTTATGGGGAACTGATGGCTTCTCCGTTCTGTCTCCTGGGCAGCAATGGGCATAGGTCAGAGCCTAGGGGTCAGGAGCGTGCGGGGCAGCTGGGGCTGTGCTGGGGACACTGATGGTGCTAAGAACACATGTGGCTTGTTGCATGGAGCCCCCAGGGTGAAGAGAGACCTATGCCCACCAGGGAGCCCTGTCCCAGTCACGTGCTGAGGGTGTCGGCCTTTGGGTCCCCATGGGCCCTATCAGAGAGGCACCAGAGGGCTAGGAGGTGATGTGGAGCCACTAGGTTCCCACATGGTGGAGCAGAGGCAGGGGGCAGATGGCTGGGGGTAGGATGGTCCCCCATGGGGTGGGGAAGGAGGTGGACATGAGCAGCAGGATCACAGCAGTGTTGCAGGGTATAACAGGGACCCCTAGGTCTGTTATTAGAAGGCAGGTAGAGGGTTCAGAAAGACCCCAGATGACAGAGAAGTTGTGGCGGGGTGTAACAGGGAACCCTAGCACTGTTACTAGAAGACAGGTCTACCCCTTAAGGGCCAGAACTTTTGGGGCACTGAACGCTGGTAAGGAGGGGGTTAAATACTGAGCCTGGCCAGTTAGTCAGCTGACCGGATGGGGCAGGCCAGGACTATAAAATCCCTGAGGAGAGCAGTAGTCAGGCGTGGCAGCCAAAGGAGAAGGAGTGCATCCTAGAATCCCATGAGAGGCTTGGTGAGTAGTCCAGAGGCTGGAAGAGGGGACTACGGAAGCCCTGAGAGATGGCAGCCACCCCAAAAGCTGATGGTGGGGAGCTGAAGCAAGAACCCAGTGAAAATGTAAGCAGGCATGTGGGTTTCTTTGATCACTTTTTTTTTTTTTTTTTTAGTGGCTGTTATTGCCCATGGAGGGGACTGTCCACATTTCTTTAGATTATTGAATACCCGGTGGTTTGGGTGAGGCTATTAGAGGAAGGAGGAGGCCTCATATTGGGGCTGATTACAGAGGGGGGACCCCAGCATCAGTGAGGGTGTGGTTTTGGGGGGTACATAGACCCCAGTGCCAGAGGGGGTGCAGGGTTTTGAGGTGCATTGACCCCAGTACCTGAAAGCATTTTTTTCTTTTCTTTTTTTTAAACCCACAGGGGCAGGGGTTCTTTATTTAAATATCATTTTTGTGGAAGTCACTGCAAGAGACCCACGTCTGGGCATGTCCAAACAGGTTTTGGGCAGGTCCAGACACGTG